ATAGCATTGTGGAGAGTTAACAGATGAAAGCTTAAAGTGATTTACAATAAAGCTTCTATGTTGTTTCTGCCTGTGGGGTATTTATAAATGGTATACGCTAGTGATAGACTATGTTTTTAGCTCAATCTCATGGACAGATTGTGGAGAGTTAACAGATGAAAGCTTAAAGTGATTTACAATAAAGCTTCTAGGTTGTTTCTGCCTGTGGAGTATTTATAAATGGTATATGCTAGTGATAGACTATGTTTTTAGCTCAATCTCATGGACAGATTGACTCTTTCCACCCAAAGAAGCTGCAAAAGACTCATCCATTTGATTATAGGGGGATCACATAGTCAAGGAGAACACAGAGTACTCATGTTAAAGAGAAACATGAGTACTAGTTTAACTAGTAACACAGACACAGCACTTGACAGAGCAAACTGGAGGACAACAAAACCTGAAGTGGAAAGCAACCTAAAATCTGTGCTGCGTGCACAAACTAAGAACTTTTGGGGAATAATTATAAGAGCATTAAAACAAGAAGGAGGGGGGAAGAGGAATGCAGGGAGAAAGACAGAGGGGAGGGCCGAAAGTATTATGAGACACACAAGAGAGGATCATATGTACTGACAGAAGAATCTAGTCAGCAACAGGCGCAAATCACTCCCTTGGGCACCCTAGCTAAGGGTATCACCGGGTTCTTAATTAGGAAAAATTAGAGACTAATAATAAATGTGTGACTTTTGGCAAGTTGCTGAACCTTAGTTTTCTTATTTGAAAAACTGACATAATAGTTTGTATCTTATAGAGCTGATAGAAATATTAAATTGAATACTGCATATAAACATACTTAGTAAAATGCCCAGTGTATAGAAAGTAGTTAATACAATGGCAGCTCTTACTAAAAAGTATTACTTAAAAGTATTGTTTAGGAAACTATATATAATTCTCATTTACAGTGTGGTCTGTCATTCTCAACTAATCTTTTTGCTGTCTTCATGAAATCTCCAGTTGAAAAACTCTCCAGGGAGAACTCCTAAACTGTATGTACTTGGCCTATTATAGGCAAACCACTGAGTGCCTTAAAGCAGCAGCATCCAATGGCATTTCTGTGATGATAGAAATGTTCTGTATCTACACTGTCCAAAATGGTAGCCACTAGTCATATGTGGCTATTGGGCACTTGAAGATGGCTGGTGCTACTGAAAGTTCCCTAGGTGACACAAACTGCACTCGACTTTTAACCTAAAGGTTGGTGGCTCGAACCCACCTAGCAGTACTGTGGGAGAAAAGGCCTGGAGATCTGCTTCCATTAGATTATAGCCAAGGAAACACTATGGAGCAGTTCTACTCCGTAACACATATGAGCTGGAATCAACTCGACAGCAATTAAAAATAACAACAGTGCTACTTTAGAAGTGAAAATCTATTTAACTTTAACTAATTTAAATAGACACATACCGTATTGGACAGTGCAGCCTTAGAGCATATTACTCCATACACTTCAGAACACTGTGCAGAGCGCCGCTGTGGTTCAAGTTCACCCAGAGGGACCTGGAAAGAAAAGCCTGGCAGCCTACTTCCGAAAGGAGACAGCCAGAGTACTACTCTGAAACACATGGGGTCACCATGAGTTGGAATTGACTCCATGGCAACTTGTTTGATTTTATGGTACCTGATATATAATAAAAACTCAAGTGTTGCTGTTAGGTGCCATCGAGTCAGCTCTGACTCATAGCAACCCTATGTACGACAGAGCAGAACACTGCCCGGTCCTGCACCATCCTCACAATCGTTGTTGTTATGCTTGAGCCCACTGTTGCAGCCATTGTGTCAGTCCACCTCATTGAGGGTATTCCTCTTTTCTGTTGACCCTCTACTTTACCAAGCATGATGTCCTTCTCCAGGGACTGACCCCTCCTGATAACACATCCAAAGTTTGTGAGACGAAGCCTTGCCATCCTTGCTTCCAAGGATCATTGTGGCTGCACTTCTTCCAAGACAGATTTGTTCGTTCTTTTGGTAGTCCATGGTATATTTGATATTCTTCCCCCAACACCATAATTCAAAGTGTCAATTCTTCTTCGGTCTTCCTTATTCATTGTTCAGCTTTCTCTTGCATATGAGGCGATTGAAAACACCATGGCTTGTGTCAGGCGCACCTTAATCTTCAAGGTGACATCTTTGCTTTTCAACAGTTTAAAGAGGTCTTTTGCAGCAGATATGCCTGATACAATGCATCATTTGATTTCTTGACTGATGCTTCCATGGGTGTTGATTGTGATCCAAGTAAAATGAAATCACTGACAACTTCAATCTTTTGTTTATCATGATGTTCCTTATTGGTCCAGTTGCGAGGATTTTTGTTTTATGTTGAGGTGTAATCCATACTGCAGGCTGTAGTCTTTTATCTTATCAGTGCTTCAAGTCCTCTTCACTTTCAGCAAGCAAGGTGGTGTCATCTGCATATTGCAGGTTGTTAATGAGTCTTCCTCCAATCTTGATGCCCCATTCTTCTTCATATAGTCCAGCTTCTCGGATTATTTGCTCAGCATACAGACTGAATAGGTATGGTGAAAGGATACAACCCTGACACACACCTTTCCTGATTTTAAACCATGCAGTATTCCCTTGTTCTGTTTGAACAATGGCCTCTTGATCTATGTACAGGTTCCTCATGAGCGCAATGAAGTGTTCTGGAATTCCCATTCTTCACAATGTTACCCATAATGTTCTATGATCCACACAGTTGAATGCTTTTTGCATAGTCAATAGAACACAGGCAAACATCTTTCTGGTATTCTCTGCTTTCAGTCAAGATCCATCTGACATCAGCAATGATATCCGTGGTTCCACGTCCTCTTCTGAACCCAGCTTGAACTTCTGGCAGTTTCCTGTCAATGTACTGCTGCAGCTGCTTTTGAATGATCTTCAGCAAAATGTTACTTGTGTGTGATATTATTCGATAATTTCTGCATTCCGTTGGATCACCTTTCTTTGGAATAGGCATAAATATGGATCTCTTCCAGTCGGTTGGCCAGGTAGCTGTCTTCCAAATTTCTTGGCATAGACAAGTGAGCACTTCCAGGCTGCATCCATTTGTTAAAACATCTCAGTTTGTATCCCATCAGTTCCTGAAGTCTTGTTTTTGCCAATGCCTTCAGTGCAGCTTTGACCTCTTCCTTCAGTACCACTGGTTCCCGATCATATGCTACCTCCTGAAATGGCTGAATGTCGACCAATTCTTTTTGGTATAGTGATTGTATTCCTTCCATCTTCTTTTGAAGCTTCCTGTGTCATTTAATACTTTCCCCATAGAATTCTTCAATATTGCAACTAGAGGCTTGAATTTTTTCTTCACTTCTTTCAGCTTGACAAATGACGAGTGTGTTCTTCCCTTTTGGTTTTCTAACTCCAGGTCTCTGCATATATCATAATACTTTAAAGACATCCTTTGAAATCTTCTGTTAAGCTCTCTTACTTCATCATTTTTTCAGTTTGCTTTAGCTACCTGATGCTCAAGAGTAAGTTTCAGAGTCTCTTCTAACATCCATTTTGGTCTTTTCTTTCTTTCTTATCTTTTTAATGACCTCTTGCTTTCTTCATGTATGATGTCCTTCCACAACTCATCCGGTCTTTGGTCATTAGTGTTCAATGCATCAAATCTGTTCTTGAGATGGCCTCTAAATTCAGGTGGGATATACTCAAGGTTGTACTTTGGCCCTTGTGGACTTGTTCTAATTTTCTTCAGCTTCAACTTGAGCTTGCATATGAGCAATTGATGGTCTGTTCTGCAGCTGGCCCCTGGCCTTGTTCTGACTGATGATATTGAGATTTTCCATTGTCTCTTTCCACAGATGTAGTTGATTTGATTCCTGTGTATTCCGTCTGGTGAGGTCCATGTGTATAGCCGCCGTTTATGTTGTTGAAAAAAGGTATTTGCAATGAGGAAGTCACTGGTCTTGCAAGTTCTATCATGGGATCCCTGGCATCATTTCATAAAGATGAATAGTGTTAGTTATTATTTAATGATAGACATGTTTATGTTGTACATCAGGAGGGTTTCTGGAAAAAAATCACACTCCATTAAGAATCTCTAGCTCATTTTTCTGACATTATTTTGATAAACCTTGTCTTAGTCATCTGGTGCTGCTCTAACAGGAATACCACAAGTGGATGGTTTTAACAAAGAGAAGTTTATTCTCTCACAGTCCAGTAGGCTACAAGTCCAAATTCAGGGCATCAGCTCCAGGGGAACGCTTTCTCCATCCGCTCTGGAGGAAAGTCCATGTCATCAGTCTTCCTTTGGTCTGGGAGCTTCTCTGAGCAGGAACCTCAGGTCCACAGGATGCACTCTGCTCCCAGCACCACTTTCTTCGTGGTATGAGGTTCCCATGTATCTCTGCTCACTTCTCTCTTTTATATCTCAGAAGAGATTGCATTCAGACACTAATCTTGTCAACCTCATCGGTATAACCTCATCACAGTGATAGAATTTACAACACATGAAGAGATCACATATAATCTCATAATAGTGGTAGAGTTTACAACACATAAGGAAATCACATCAGATAACACAATCATACAATACTGGGAATCATGACCTAGCCAAGGTGCTACACACATTTTTGGGGGGGCACAATTCAATCCAAGACAAATCTTTATGAGGCATTATAAAGGGCAAGACTGTGTGCTCAGTGACCAGTCCTCCAAGGTGGGCTTGAAGTAGGGTTTGTCAGTAGATGGAACTACAGAGCACCAAACTACCTGGCCATTACTACTACCATCTGAAATATTTTTCACTATTTCAACTCTCTGCCAAACATATGGAAAATAACAAAACCACCATAGTACTCCAAACCACAAGTTAGATTTTTGTCTGATTCTTCATTTCAATTAGAAAGATTGTACTGAAGCCTGTAAATGGTAAGTGGAAGGAATATGAAGATAGATTTAGGTTCTAGCTTTGGCTCTTTTATTAACTTCCTAGTCATTGGGCAAGTCTCTCACTCATGGGCTGATTTTGGACTCAGTGAACCCTAGGGTCACTTCTGAAGAATAGTAACAACATGATGTACACAAGTCCAGCCTCACTATCTGCATAGGCTTTGCTCCTTGAAGTTACCACAAATCATCTTATTTTTGTTTTCTCAGATTCTTTCCATGATGTCTTCAGTTCTTTGGAGAAAAAGCATTACAAGGGGATGAAAAACACACAGACAGTTGATTTGACAGATCCATCTTTAATTCTGTCATTTTCCAGTAGTCATACAGGGCTTCTTTGAAAGGAAAAAGAGGCTTGGAAGAAAGAGCTCAAGAGGCTCTAAAACTATAGATACCTCATACCAAGAAAGAATCCAAAAGGTAAAGTGTTTCTTTTCCTATAAGCCAGGCTAGCTGCCAAAATTCTAAAAAGAGTTTTTTAATTTGGATTGTGTGGTACAATGTTTTGTGAATTTCTATCTGTTCTGATACAAGAACAACTCTTCTATTTGCTTCTCTTAAGCAACATGGGTAAAAACTCTTCGCCCAACATATTAATCTTCTATTATAAATGGTTATCATAGTACTCATTGGCAAAAAACTGTACAAGCAATCTCTGTTACAAAGTCAATTTTGCTAACAGGTCCTGGTTTGGTAGGTCAGGATTATAATTTCCATTTTCAGGTGTGGGAAATGGAAGTGTGGGTTTTATGGCGACTTGTTATTAGAGACAGAGGTAGAGTGAGATGAGAAGCTTCCACTCACCACTGGGAAGAGCTGATTTGTCAGGCCTCACTTTTATTGTTGTCTGGTAGAATATGTTTTGAAGTATCTCCACAAAAAGGAGAGAAAATTTGGGATCTATCTTGGGGATTTTGAAAAGCAAATTAAACCAAGGTTAGCTGAATCCAGATTTAAAGCAGACAGCTATTGGCTGAGTTGCAGATATAAACAGTATCAGTAGTTCAGGTCTTGTATTTCCAGAACCCAGCTTCAAAGTCAGAAAGTTTAGAGTCTCAAACATGCTGTCCCTCAGGATTTTGTGCTATCTGATGAAAAAAGCACTACTCTTAGGAATAAGCAGTAAAGGTTTTAGTCTTGGATTTGCTTTTTACCTACTGAGTGATATTGTACAAGCTAATTGTACTCTCTGAGCCTCATTTTTTTCACCTGTAAAATGGCAATTCCTCTCCTATACATTTCACAGGGGGCTGGTGAGACTAAACTGAAAGACAAATGCAAGGAATTAATTGTTAAGAATATAATCCAGCAGCTTGGCCTTTTGTATAATTAACAAATCAAGCTGAAATGATATAATCTTCTCAGAAGTTCATATCATGTGTCTCTGAATAATAATAATAATAAAAAAACAAGTACTACTTGCTGGGAACAGTCAGTGCAGTCTCAAGGACAACAACTTAAGCAGCTTACATACAATGAAGCAGGCACCATCTTAGTGAAAAATGAACTATAATAATCAACTTATTTTCCTGAGATGTGACTACAAATTGGCCCAAATGGCAACCCAAGGATTATTAGTCTAAGACCTCTATCTATTATTTTTAAAAAGGGTTGGGATAAAGTGAGCACCTGTGAGAGTAAGTACTCCAGAGAGAAATACAAGTGATTATCAGCATTGGCCAAATTACTGCCCACCTCCCTCACATTTGTGTAGATAAATTCAGGCTAAGGAGCTTGCCTCAAATAATTGGCATTTCAGACAGCTTTTTCCCCCCCTAGTCACAGCATTTTGTTGAGGGTATTTAGAACATTGCTCTATTTAAAGACTACAAAGCATTATTCACCAAACGAAGCCAATACTCAGGTATATCAAATTAAATGTCCCTACTAGAATATTTTGCTTGTGAGGAAAGCTGCCATTATTGAGGTGTATAGACCACACGATATAAAAAAGCCTTTTTGAGATTAGTTGAAAGCTCCTATAGAAATCCCACCAATTTCTTCACCTCCTGGCACACGGGGTATGCTAATTCTTTGGCTTTTGCTGCCCCAAGTTGTAAAACCTTCTCTAAGTGGTCCTTGTCCATCTTCAGTTTTTCAATTTCATTCTTAATTGGAGCAAATTTCTCAATCACAGCATCTGCCACCACCAGCTTGTAGCGAGCAGTGTCCATACCAGCACTCTGGCGGACCACATCGTCCACGGTGAGTCCGGTCACTGCGGCATGAATGGCAACTATGTTGGAGACACCCTCTCTGCTGGCTGGATCGTAGGTGACCTCTGAGGTGAAGTCCGTCACAGCCTTGCGGAATTTCAGCACTATCTCCTCTGGGCTGTCTGTTATTCTGACTGTGGCCAGTTTGTCAGGGTCTGATTTCGACATTTTGGCAGCTGGATCGCGGAGGGATTTTACCTTCTTCATTGACGCTAAGTAAAAATACCAACAAACACACACACCAAAAAACCAAGACAAAAAACAAACAAAAAAATCACCAGGAATGTCAGTGTCTAGATCTTAAAAATGCCAAACACACTGAATGACTTATTATTTTTATCTGATTATATAAACATCAAATGCTTGTTGTGGAAAATTCAAGCAATTTACATAATAAGCATGAAAGTAAAGCTCATCTGAGATAGCTCCACCTTGTGATAACTACTGTTAGCATTTTGTTGATTGTATTTTCATGCATCTTTTAATGTGTGTGTGTATATATATATATACACACACAAAAATTTATAGTCTTACACAAATGAAACTATCAATCATGCTGTTTTTGGTATGCAACCTTTTAAAAAAGGGTTGTCTTTTTCTTTCCTTCTCTCCTTCTTCTATCTGCCTGTCTTCTAGCTAATTACCCCACTACCCCCACCGCTCTTCCTACCCTCAAACCAATTTTAACAATCTGTGGCACTCCTTCCATTCCTTTATCCATGATTATATAAGTATGTGCCCATACACACGCATGCACACACATGCTCGCACACATACACACGCAGGGGTGAAGTGACTTGTTTTATTGTTCTGACAGAATCAAGACAAGCTGTGCCTCAAAAACCAGTGTTATAATTACCTGAATATTTTATGGCTATTTCAGAAATGCTTCTGTAACAGCCATAAAATAGGGTGAAACAGGTAAAATAATAATAGGCCAAAACATTAAAATATTACTCACTGCTAAAGAAGACTGGTTTCAATGCATGGGGTGCCCTAAATTTATTTGTATGAACTGTTGGAATAACTTAGAAATTCAAACTCTTCTTATGTTTCTAAATTGATACTAGGCACATGTTATACTTCTTTAAAATGCTGTCAGCTTAATAAAGATGGACAGTGCTTTGGTTCAGTGATTTCTGCTGCTGCCATAAATTTGCATTGCTACGAAAATGGTGATACAGATTTACAGCTTCTTTCCTCAAGAAGATTCCAGACTAGCACAGCCTTGCAAGCTGAAGTTGAGGTTTCAGATTCAGTAGGTGGACTGAACATTCCATTTCTGTTGTAGATTTAAGAAGGTAGAATGTGATGACTATCAATTCCCTCTTGTTTTACCTAGATTATGATTCAGCAGTGTTCACTCTTATGGCTTTTGTTTTATTGTGAATAGGGAAGGCAAGGTACACTGGCTTTGCAATCAGAAAAGCTGAGTTTAGGGCCCAGCTTTGCCACTAACTAGCCATATAACTTGGAAACAATGTTAGCCTTGCCAAGCCTTAGTCTCCTCATCCATAAAACAGGGAAAAATATCTGCTCTACCAAATGAGATATTTTATAAATGTTTTTGTAAGTCACATTAATACTTTATAAATGAAAATTATTACTATCATTACATATTTATTTATTTATTTATTTTTTTAAGGAGCACTGGTGGTGCAATGGTTAAGTGCTTGGCTGCCAACCAAAAGATCAGTGGTTCAAACTCACCAGCGGCTCCACAGGAGAAAAGACCTGGTGCTCTGCTATGTAAGATTACAGCCTAGGAAACCCTATAGGGCAGTTCTACTCTGTCACATACAGTTGCTATGAGTCAGAATTGATTTGATGGCACACAACAACAACAACATTATGGTTTTCAGTCTCCTCCACACTTTTCAGACTTTTTCTGTTATTTTGTTCAATAACACAATCAGGCCTACTAATCCTACATTGCGAAAAAAGACAGGAATTCTAGTTACAAATCCTGAAGCCCTGTCCAGGTGAGAGCCAAGTTTAGCCCCAAGAAAGGTCTAAGCTTCCACCTATTATCCTATCCTCTCTTCAAAATACGCCCTAATTTAACAATCACATGATTGGTACTTACTTAGGATGGGCTTGGGCACCGGAAAGAACTCCCCATACTTCTTGTTAAAACCTTGTGCTAGATCCCGAACTAGTTCCATGTGCTGGACTTGATCCTCCCCAACAGGAACGTGTGTGGACCTTTAATAAAAGACAGACAGAATAACTCAGCAAGGCTCCTTCTTATACTGAAATGATATTGCAAGCAGCTGTATTTCCTGTTCCTATTTCACTGCTAGTGTTCAACAAATGTTCACCAACTACAGAAGGAATGTTGAGACTCAAGTCTTCATCTGTATTTTCAGACAAATGGCCAAAGGTACGTTTGCCTACTCTAGTTCTGCTTCCATAGCAGACGAATACAGCCATCAACACCACAGTGACAGGATCTTGCTAGGAGAGAGGAATAATATCTTAAACAGCATATGCCCTAAGCATAACTGTATTTTAAAATCACATCTCATTCTCTCACCTAGTCAGTACATATTCGTCCAGCCCTTGACCAGATGCTCTTACTCAGAGCTTGTGCTTACACTTCAAAGACACCTCCAGCCCACTCTCACATCAAAGATGGTGGAAAACTCTTCAGGTAAGTTCTTCCTCCCTGTCACAGAGCTGTGGTAACTCAAGATTTGTTTGGAATATGTTACTTCATTTTCAAGTAAATAATAATCACAGGGCAATTGATATGCTGCAGGGAACTTGAATGAAATCTTACGCACAACGTAGATGAATCTCCAAAAAAAACAACGTGAATGAAAAAAGCAAGTTGGGGAAGACATGTAGCGTATGCTCACATGTGTGTAAATTTTAAAAGTACATATGAAAATACTATATATTATTTATACATATGTGTATCTGTAGTAATAAGTATAAAAACAGATACTGGAAGACTCCCCTTCTCCCAAATTCATGATAGTAACTGCCTCTAGAAAGGAAGGGAAGGGAATGGGTCTGGGAAAAAGAACAAAGGGTACATCAATTTTATCTGTAATATTTTATTTTATTAAAAAATGAAGATCAACAGATAAATGGATAAACAAAATGTTGTATATACACACAATGGAATATTACGCAGCCATAAAGAGAAACAAAGCTCTAATGCATGCCACAACAGAGATGACCCTTGAAAATGTAAAGCAAAGCAAACTAAGTAGCAAAAGGAAAAATACTGTATGATCACACTTATATGAAATAAGCAAATAGACAGAAGCCAGAGCTTATCAGTAGCTACCAGAGGTGGGAGGGAGGTGCAAAGGGGAAGTTTTAGTTTGGGATGCACTGAGTTTATGTTAATGTGGCAGAATATTCTGAAAAAGGGTAGTGAGAATAGTGGCACAATGTGAAAAATGTAATCAGTGTCATTGAATTGTATATGTGGAAATTGTGTTGGCAAAAAAAAAAAATCTAAAACAAAAAGTTATCAGGATATAGGAACTCCATTTATAATCACATATATAAAATCGACAGTATTAGATCATATGAGGTACATGAAAAGGAGAAGAATTAACCACTATACAGAAGCCTTGATGGGGAAAACATTATACTGAAGTGTTATTGAGGAAGGAGACATATGACTGAGAGTCTTTAATGCTTGGCCAGGGAATTTAGATTTGATAATACACTTAATAAAATGCTGTAATTTCTTGAGGAAGAAAGTTTAATATTCTTCCTGTGAAAGCAGCAGCCTTAAAGAAAACATGAATATCTAATGATAATTGTGCCTTCTGAGTGGAAAAATAACAGCTTTTCAAAAACAGTCTTAGAAAAGGAAAAGTGCTTGAAAACTACTGTACTTTGTCATAGGGAGGGGAGCCTCCCCACAGCAGAAGTTAATTAATGGCTCTTGAAAAACTGGCAGAGATCTTATTATTTTCCTTGTAAATTACTCTCCACAGGCTGACTAGGTACTGGCCTATTTAACCTACTTGTCTAGAGCATGAAGTCAAGGAAGTTTTGACAAGCATAGAGACTAATACAGAACAATATTTAAGAACATTTTGAAAAATGAAAAAACCCTCGTAATTTTATAACCATTTTTACTTTTGTAAATTACTTTCCAGTCCTTGTTCTGTCCATATGGAAGCATATTTTTACATAACTGCAGTTATAATATTCATACTATCTTTATTGTTAACTTGATAGACATTTTCCATGTTTCTATGTGGTCTTCTTAGATGGCTGAAAGTAGAGAATACCAGAAAGATGTTTATCTGTGTTTTATTGACTATGCAAAGGCATTTCACTGTGTGGATCATAACAAATTATGGGTAACACTGAGGAATGGGAATTTCAGAATACTTAATTGTGCTTCTGTGAAACCTGTACATACACCAAGAAGCACTCGCTGGAACAGAACAAGGGATACTGCGTGGTTTAAAATCAGGAAAGATGTGTGTCAGGGTTGTATCCTTTCACTATCCTTATTCAATCTGTATGCTGAGCAAATATTCGGAGAAGCTGGACTGTGTGAAGAACTCGCATCAGGACTGGAGAAAGGCTCATTAACAACCTGTGATATGCAGATGACATAACCTTCCTTGCTGAAAGTGAAGAGGACTTGAAGCACTTACTGATGAAGGTAAGACTACAGCCTTCATTATGGATTATACCTCAACATAAAGAAAACAAAAATCCTCACAACGAGACCAATAAACAATATCATGATAAATGGAGAAAAGATAGAAGTTGTCAAGGATTTCATTTTACTTGGATCCACAATCAAAACCCATAGAAGCAGCAGTCAAGAGACCAAAAGACAGTTGCATTGGGCAAATCTGCTGCAAAAGACCTCTTTAAAGTGCTGAAAAGCAAGATGTCACCTTGAAGACCAAGGTGCATCTGACCCAAGCCATGGTATTTTCAACTGCATCATATGCATGCGAAAGCTGGACAACGAATGCTGAATATACCATGGACTGCCAAAAGAACAAATAAATCCGTCTTGGAAGAAGTACAACTAGAATGCTCCTTAGAAGCAAGGATGGCGAGACTACCTCACATACTTTGGACATGTTGTCAGGAGGGATCAGTCCCTGGAGAAGGACATTATGCTTGGTAAAGTACAGGGTCAGTGAAAAAGAGCAAGACCCTCAATGAGATGGATTGACACAGTGGCTGCAACTATGGGCTCAAGTATAACAACAACTGTGAGGACAGCACAGGACCGGGCAGTGTTTTGTTCTGTCGTACACAGGGTTGCTATGAGTTGGAACCGACTTTACGGCACCTAACAACATGTGGTCTTCATTAATATAATTTTAAAAGTTACACAAGAGTATTGCTGTACTATGGTTACAAAACCATAATGAATTTATATTATTTTGTGGCATATTTTTTGAATATTCATAGGGGAGAAATTTTGATTCTTTCAATGAAGAAATTTATCTTTTACAATAACCTAATACTTCAATACTTTCTGGTAAAAAAGAAAAGAAAAAAGGCTTGACTGTTGGATAATGAAACTAGTATTTATTTGTATCATAAAATTATTCCAAATATATTTCCAAAAGGAAAGCTGTTAAATGTTTTGAAAATTAGAACATGCAATAGCTTTCAAAGCAACTCTTTGACACTTGTTTTGCATAAAAACAATAACATCAGTCATGTTCTCTTTTTTAAAAAATATTTTATTGTGTTTTTGGTGAAAGTTTACACAGGAAATTAGGTTCTCATGTAACAGTGTCTTTATATACTGTTCAGTGACATTAGTTACGTTCTCCATAATTCTCATTATTTCCATTTTGGTTGTTCTGTTTCCATCAATCTAGCTTCTCATCTTTTAGTTTCATCTAGACGATTATTTTGAGAAGCACAGTACTCGTGGGTGGTATTATTTATTTTATGGGCCAATCTGTCATTTGGCTGAAAGATGACCTCTGGGAGTGGTTTGAGTTCCATGTTTAAAGAGTATCTCATAGCGATAGTCTCAGGGGTTGATCTAGTTTCTACCGGTCCAGTACGTCTGGTCTTTTTTTAGGAATTCAAATTTTGTTCTACATTTTTCTCCCATTCTATCTGGGACAATCTATTTGGTCCCTGGTTGGAACAGTTGGTAGTGATAGATGGGCACCATCTAGTTCTTCCGGTCTCAAGGTAGGTGATGTCATTGTTCGTGTAGACTACCGGCTCTGTAGACTAGTTTCTTCTCTTAAGTCCTTGGTTTTCTTCTTTCTCTTTAACTCCAAAGGAATAGAGACCAATAGTTGTATCTTAGATGGCCGCTTGCAAGCTTTTAAGACCCCAGACACTACTTACCAAACTAGGATGTAGAACATTGTCTTTATGGACTATATTATGTCAATTGACTCAATTGCCCCACGATACTATGGCCCTAAGCTTTCAAACCCAGTAGACCAAGCCTGTGAGGTGTTTGGTTGTGTCTAGGAAGTATCCACAACTGTGCCCCCATGTGCTTTATTTTATACTTGAAAATCTATGCAACACACATAAACATGTATATACATATGCTGACAGTTATTCATATATGCCTTCCTGTACATATTGATGCATACTTACATATCTATGTAACCAAACACATATTTTTTAGTTGTTATTACTGTTCTTGCAAAATTGTATATCCCCTGATGAATTTTTTTTTTTTAATTTCCAGATAAATTGTTCATTGACGTTAGTTACATATATCACAATTTGTCAGCGTTCTCTTTAATTCTGTCTATACCCTTCTATTTGTGCCTAAACACTCATCTTTACTATGGTTGGGCTGTACTCACTACTTCCACACTCAAAGCCACTTTCCTGTCACCAGAAGTAACAAGTCTCTAAGTTCTAAAGCGTACTTACCCACCTCCCCACTTCTCTCCCTGGTAACACCAATGAATATTGTTCTCTCTGTATTTATCTGTTCTTGTCTTCTTAAAAAAGAGGGATCATACAATATTTCTCCTTACATGTTTGACTTATTTTACTTAGCATTATGCCCTCCAGGTCCATTCATGTTATGTTTCGCAGATTCATCATTGTTCTTTATGGCTGCATAGCACTCCATTGTGTGTGTGTACCACAATTTGCTTATCCATTCATCTGTTGATGAGCACTTAGATTGTTTACATTGTTTTGCTATTGCAGTCATGTTCTCTTATAGCCCTTCATACACTCATGCAGTTGCCTGGCGTGTGTGT